CAGGGCTGGGAAGAAATAGAAGTGACACCGGTGCCCTGAGTCCAGCATCCCTTATTGCACCATTTCCCCGCTGCGGAAAGCAGCGTTCAGCCTCTGGCTGCATCAGGGGCTGTAAAACGCAGTGGGAGGGAAAAAGAACGTTTTTCCAGGGAGGTTTGGCCCCAGTTTGCAGCCCTCCATCCTTGCAGCCGTCCCCGCGGCGCCGGGCCCGGCCGGCTGGGCTGCCACGGCCGTCACCCTGATGGGATGTGACAAAGTGCGCTGTCGCTGCACTGCCTCAAATCAGCCTCTTCATTAAGGATTTCCGTGTAAAATATGACAGCGAATAAACACCCGCTCCCGCCGGGGCGGCCACGTGCACACGCAGGCAGCGGGAAAGGGGCTTCAGCCTCTCACCTCCCGCGGAGGCTGAGCAGAGACCCACGGGGAAACTGAGGCACGAGGCRCTACCAGGACCTGCTAGGGCAGCTGGGAACAGCGCACAGGGCTCTTCCTCCCCATACTCCTCCTCCAAGGCCTGTTTTCCTCCCTAAACCCTGAAGCTAGCGCTTGCAGCTCCACTTTGCTGCTTTCAGCAGGTCAGCCCAGCACCACTTCCCGCAAGTGTTTGCRGAGCTAAGTCGCGGGCAGCGCAATCCCGGGCTGGCTCCGCTTCCCTCGCCGGGGTGATTAATAGCAGTTCTGCTGCTAAAACAAGAGGCCATTAAGACCGCTAATATTTGCTCTCCCTACTCCCTGCCTGCTTCATTTGCTACTTCAGTGGGAATCCGCTGCACTTCTTCCCCCAGTGAGATATTAATAAGGGAGCAGAAGGTGCTCGGGCTGGGGAGTCCAGCTGCATGCAGGAGACCTCAGCAGGGAGCTGCTCCACACCTTCCAGGCACATGTGGGACACCTGCATGGACACCCCAGGATGCTCATTTGCTTCATGCAAGTCAGGGTACAGCTCAAATGGCCAAGTCCCAGGAGAAGATGCCCTGCTGCAGGGTACTCACCAGCTGCTAGGGTCTCCACAGGCTGCATGGATGTGAYCTGCCCTTCATGGACACCTCACATCCCAAAGAAGCCTCTTGCTCAGCATCCTGAAGGTGCTTGGGATGCTCTTGAGTCCCTTTTATAGGGTGGTCCCACCTGCCCCAGGTGGGTCCTATCCGGGAGGAGCCTCTTCCTGCTCATTTGGGCTGTGGGCTGGGATGCTGTGTTGCTCTAGGGCCTGATATGAGCCTGGAGCAAGCTGGGATAATGTGGGATAACAGCAGCAAGCTTGGCACCCCTGGTCCCCCTGTCTCCTTGCAGGGAGCAGGTTTCTCCTGGAATTGCACCGTGTGTTTTCAAACTCTGTTGTGGTTTTCTTTTTCAAGGGGCAAACACAAGCTCATTTCACTTTTTCCAGCCAAACTGGCACATTTTGTGGATTGTTCCCACGTGAGAGCCCCCTGGCAGACAARCCCCCTCCCATGGCGAGCAATGGCCTTGCAAGTCCCAGGGCCCATCACGGACCCTCTCACCAAGACATCCCGCCCATCCTAGCTGCCAAGGAGCGCTGGGATTTSGATTAAACTCCAAAGGTGGGAGGCTGTGTACCCCAAAACACAGGCCCAGCGGATGTTTTTTCCTTCTCCCCCCTGTTTCTCAGCATCTTCCCCCATGGTTTTTCCCATGGCACCTGGGCTCGGAGGCTCCATGCGCCCGGCAGCGCATCCGCCGGTTGCCTCACATCTCTCCTAGGCAATCTGTAGGGAAAGGGGAATTGACAAACTAGTGGAAACCTGACTGACGTTCCAATCAAAATACAAAAGAAACAGAAATAAATGGAGCCGGGAAGAACTGCTATTTAATTAGAAACCACATCTGTGCCAGTGAGTCACCGCGGGGAAGGGATCGGCAGCAGCTCGCCCGAGACGGGCAGCTGCCGGCAGCTCCGCGACGGACACACGAGCAGAGCCCGTTTCCCATGTAGGGATGGAGCTGGAGAGCCCGTTCCCTCTTGCTCAGCCCATGAGTTGTCCAACGTGCCCATCCTTCCTCCTCTCCATGAGAGCGTCACCAACATGCCCTGTGGCCCAGGGGTACCTTCAACCTTTGGGACCCACCGACGGGCAGTGTAGGGCCCGTGACACCCAAAAAACCTACCCAAGGCAGACAGACTGCTTAGGAGACCACCAAAGCACCTCTGATGTCCCCCAAATGGCTGCGGGGCTGGACCTGACGTGGCACCTTCTAGTCAGCATCCACCCCACGTCCCACAACCGATGTCCCCTGTGGCCGAGCTGGAGGGAAAATCCCCCATGGTCTTTCCTGGTCTGACACGAGTGTCCTGGAGGCCCAGCTCCTTGTGGTGCCACCACAGCTGGTAGCAGCCCAGCCCTGCTGAGATGCGACTYGGCACCCAGCTCGGCTCTGCCGCAGGATACGGCCCATGGCTCGGGCTCTCACGCTGGCATCACTCCTAGTAAATAAAGTAAAAACACCCCCAAGCCCACAGGCCTCGTGGTGAGGCTCCCACTGAGCAGCTTTCCTGCTGCGATGGGAAAAAAACACAGTAAACCAGAGCCAAGGAAAGTCCCCAGGTCCCCCCATGGGCTTAATGTCACCCCATGCTGAGGAACCTTTCAGAAGAAGCCTCTCCATGGCTGCAACAGACTGGACAGAGACCAACACACCCCACTCCTATGATACCTTGCTGGGCAAGGACACCCATCTCCTGGATGATGCCTCCAAAAACCAGGACGCAGCTCAGCTGCCACTTCTTGAGCCAGATTTCCCTTAGTTCCACCCCTCCCTGCCTGAAAAGGATTTTCCAAGGCTGGCTCGAAGGCGACGTGGACCCTCAGGGTCCTGCTCTCYGGAGGCAGGACGTCACAGGGCTGCCAGCTCTGGGCCTCCCGCTCTGCAGCTCGGCTCAGGGCTCACAGCACATCCCCGCTGCACGCACCGCTGTCTGAAAGCAATCCCGAATTTCCCCTCCACAAGCATGGAGCATCGCTGGGGCTGAGGCCGGAGCTCCACGAAGGCGCCGGGGAGCGGGTGAGTCACGTCAGGTCGCAGCCGGAGCGCGTGTTCAGCGGCTTGGATCGCACCCGGCAGGAGGCCATAAACATCGGGGGCGCGCGTGGGCGCGCACGCTCGCAGCGCCCGCCCCGCGCTCACCTGGCATTGCCACCCATGGCCGAGGAGCAGCGCGGGGACGGGGGACCTGCTCATAGCGCTGCCACCCTCGCGGGATGGGTTTCCCCAGGGTGGGGGTCTGCTCCGGGGTGACCCCCCCATCAGGGACACATGTGCACACGTCCACACATGTAGACACATGCACACGCTTGCATGCGCATGTGCAGACACATGCACACACTTGCATGCACACGCTTGTACATGCTTGCGTGCACATGCAGCCACTTGCACGCGCATGCACGCATGTGTGCACACATGCAGACACTTGCACACACATGTGCACACGCATGCACGCAGCACAGGCGCTTGCTTGCAGCTTTTCTCCCTCCTAGGCAGTCCTGCAGTGGGCTCCTCCAATAAGGGCTTTTTTTTTTCCCCCTGCATTTAGGGATTTCCAGCGCTTTTTTTGCAGTCCCCAGAGATAACCAGCCCTGAACGTCACCACCAGGGCGGGGGGGGGACATGGGGGCACTTCGCTCTGGCCAAGAGACCCCCGGATGGGGGGCGGGGGCAGCGGGGGGGCGGTGCTGAGGGTCCCCTCTCCGGGCCGCCCCGCCGGCCAATGCCGGGGGGTGTCGCGGGGCGCTGCGGCAGGAACGGGGCTCCCGGCGCCTTTAAACCCCCCCGCCCGGCGCGGGGAGGCTCGGCCCCTTTCTGTGACAC